TGTGTGTGTGTGTGTGTGTGTGTGGTGTGCATGAGAGAACTGGGTACTCAAAGGGTGAAATGTAGTGGAAATCAATTGTTTTAATCTGTCCAGCATCTCTTCTATTATCTACTCATAATAGCATATTTACCACCCTTGGGACCATCAAATCTCACCCCTTCCCATACTTTGTGAGTTTTTTAAATTTTTTTAAATTTATATTGAATTTACCGGGGCGACACTGGTTAATAAAATTATATAGGTTTCGGGTGTACAGTTCTATAATACATCATCTGCATATTGCAGTGTACGTTCACCATCCAAAGTCAAGACTCTTTCTGTCATCATTTATCCCCCCTGTACCCTCTTTTATCTCCCCCCACCCCCTTTCCCTCTGGTAATCACATACTGTTGTGTCTATGAGGATTTCGGGGGGGGGTTGCTTAATCCCTTCTCCTTTACCATTCAGCCCCCCAAACCCCCTCCCCTCTGACAGTTGTCAGTTTGTTGTCTGTTTCTATTTTGTTATGCTAAGTGAAATAAGCCAGTCAGAGAAGACAAATACCATATTATTCCCCTAAATGCAGAATCTAATGAACAAAATAAAGAAACAAAATACTTTGTGGTTTTTAAAGGAGCTTTCAAGCACAGGATCTCCAACTCCAGGAACTACAGGTGTTGTTCCTTAATGAAACTAGACCAATAAGATTTTCCCTAATGGAAATTTTAATCTTCAGTGGAGTCACACATAAAAAATGAAAGGAAGCAAAAAACTTTAAAAGAAAAAAAGGAAAGGAAAGAAGAAACTTAAAGAATTATGTTCTCTAATGGCTATTTCCTATTAAATGGTGCAGAAGTTCCTACTACTGAACTACCTAGAATTGTCTAAGTCCTAGCCTTCCTTTAAGACTTGACTACTCAATCTTCCTTTAAATCTATGAGCTACCGAAGTGCCTTTCCTGTAAATCTTTAATTGTAAATGTAGTATCTGTCTTAAATATCTATTTTATTGTTGTAATCAAAAACTCCTGAGAGAATGGTTGCTATTATTAATTCAGGAAGTCTAATGCTAAAATTAAGGCCTCAGTGACTGCATCTGGGCCTCTAACAGAGAAGATGAAGGTCTGATGGAGTCAGCTAGGAGTCATTAAGTATAAATGCAAAGTTTATGTGGAAAGTGTAGAAGATAATATTCATGATTATGAAGATTATGTTTTTGAACATGAATGAACATTCAAAAATATTCTTGTCACACACACTTGAGAATGTATAATTAGGAGACATACGAGTCAATGGAAATAGCTCTGGCTTTACAGTATGGCATGCAAATCTTCACCCTACTTTTACCCCTCTGCTACATATCTTGACCATTTGCACAACTCTCATGGGCCATAATTCATTCAATAGTTTTATTCTCCCATTCAAGAGTCTCAAGGACCATGAAGCATGTAACAATGTTTTATGTCTTATAGACTATGTAGTAATGAAGAACACCCTACCAAGCAACCAACATTGAACACACTACTTTCTCTTATTCTACTTACAAAATACAGATTGAGCCCTGGATGGTGTTTCTCAGTGGTTAAAGCATCGGCTCACACACCAAAGGGTTATGGGTTCAATTCCTGGTCAAGGGCATGTACCTGGGTTGCAGGTTCAGTCTCTGCCAAGTCAGGGCACATGCGGGAGGCAACCAATCAATGTATCTCTCTCACATCAATGTTTGTCTGTCTGTCTGTCTGTCTGTCTGTCTCTCTCTCTCTCTCTCCACCACCTCTCCCTCCCTTCCACTCTCTCCAAAAAGAAAATCAATGGAAAAGATGGCGGCGTAGGTAGCAGCTGTACCCACCACCTCCCACAACCACATCAAAATGACAGCTAAAATACAGAACTATCACTCAGAACCTCCTGAAATCTGGCTGAACAGAAGTCATACAACCAGGGAACTGGAGAAGCACAGAGATCGGTAGGAGGGGCAGAGACGCGGGCAAATCAGGGCTGGATCTCGGAGTCACAGCCTCAGCCCACACCCGGTGCCACAGTTTAAACCCGGGAGGGACATCGCGGCGGCAGAGGTTTTCCAGAGGAGTGAGAGGTCCCAGCCCCACAGCAGGCCCCCCAGCCCAGGGCTCCAGGGCCGGGAAGACAAGTCCCCACAACTTCGGGCTGTGAAAACCAGCAGGGACTGTCGCTGAGGGTCACAGAGGGTGCGGGAGTCCCAGGCAGCTCCTCTTAAAGGGCCCACGCAAGGACTCACTCAGACGCGCTCCCTCTGAGCCCCAGCGTCAGGCAGCAGTTTGAAAGGACCTGGGACACTTGGGGAGGAACTAACCTGCCTGAAATTGGGAGGTGGAGAGGCAGTTTCCTCCCAGACAGAAGAGCTGGCAGAGGCAATTGCTCCTTTGGCGAGTCCTCCCCACACACAGCCAGCAGGCAGGTGCCATATTTGAATAGCCAGCACCTGACTCACACCTTTGGCCCCACCCCGTGATTCCCCGACGCCCCTCCCCTCCCCACCTGCGGGCTCATCCAGGCCATTTCCAGTGGCTTTTCTATGCAAGTGGCCTCTCGAGACTTATGCTTAGGACTTTCCTAAAATCTCTCAAACAAGCAGCAGCCTGCCCCATACAGCTTGATAACGGGCCCCAGGCCTGGCACTGGTGGCAGCCTGCATTGGCTCATAGCTTGGCCTCTCCTGGACAC